AGCTATATACATTATTTATATTATTCAAAATCAGGTAAAAGAAAATCTCTTTAAGGACAGGTTTTACCACTTTTTACAGTGCTGGATGTTTAATTGGAATCTGAATCAGAATTGCAGGATGAGGAAATAGCTCTTCTGCAATTTAAAGAAATGCAATTATCATTTATTTAATAGACAAATAATTTCACAGTATTGTATAATTCATTATTTAATATTTAGCAATACGTCTTTATATGTTTTGTCATTACATCATTAAGGTTAGAATATCTTAAAATTAGAAATTAGATTAGAATGTGTCCATTAAAATAAAATAAATGAAATAAATGAGTAAATTAAATATACACTGTAAGAAAAACATGTAGAAAAAAATGGAAAAGGTACTGATGATTTTCTGCCATTATCTGTTAATTTACAGACATTTACTTTAACCCTCAAACACAACACAGTTGTGTAATGCAAAATGCATAATTTATAATTCAGTTTCTTTGAATTTTAATTCTACTTCCTTAAACACTACTTTAAATTGCAATTCTATAATTACTCCAGAGGTAGCAAACAGGATTGTTTGCTACCTCAGTTCAAATTCAGGAATTGGTGCACTACCATGCTGTAAAGGACTTGGTAAATACAATTAAAAAACACCATATAAAAGATTTAACCAAATTAATGTCACTCTCCTTCTCTGAAAGCATTTCACAGTGTTTCATGATGCCATTCTTCAAATGAATTACAAGCAAGCAGTAACTTTCTCTGCAGTCTGAAAGAATCAAAACCAGCACCACCAGCCATGATGCTAAAACTTAGAAGTGATGGAGCTCTACGTTCAAAATACATAATGTACTTAATAGTATTTTACTCAGTAAATGCTACTCTCAAAATGGACTGTCTGACATATTTTAACTAACACAAAAATTATGTTTGTTACATGTTTTGAAGATCTAAAGCATCAGAAATGTTTCTATTACTTTTGTTTCTTGATATCGGGTTTGAATTCAAAGTTCAAATTGAGTCACCTGAGCAGCTTCATTTGTTAGAATGCAACAAAAAATGATATCTCTAAATTCCATTCTAAACTCTAAACTCCATTGCATTTTTGTAATTTATAAAAAAAATTCATTATAAATAATCATATATATGTATATATATACTGCACACTATTCAGCAAAACAGTATGCTAATATTCTGTTTTGAACATAGTCTGTATTAAAGTGACTCAAGATAAACAAGTACTTTTGAGAGTGTACAGTATATTTAGGGTGAATTCCTTTTTTTTCCCCACATTGGATAAAAATCTAGAATAAAATATATTACGGTTTCATAAATATTCTATGATCATGAAGTTAAGTCTATGACATATATGTCATAAATAAAACAATATCAAAAATCCTGTAGCATTACATTATTTTTTGAAGATTACATTTTACAATGTTTACTTTGTTTTTCACCATTTACTATTTACCTAATCCACTTTTCAATACTGCATACAACCAGATGACCTACAGTATAGATAAATTGTTGTCCATTTCTCAAATAATCCTTTTGGCCCATTATCAGAATTTTTATATTTACAAAATATAACAAAAAATGTAACATGAGATCATACTTACAGTGGGGTCTGCTAGTGAACCACTCATGAAAATGCTTCTGTTTTGCGTTTTTCTAATTTAATACAAAATTAATCATAAATTATAAGCAAAACAATCTTTCAAACAATCATTGTAGCCCATAACAAGAATCATAGCACAACACTGTATTTCCGAGACACATTACTTTTGAATACAGAAACATGTTATAATTCAGCAAAAAAAAATGGCCAAAAATCTTATTTTTTTTCTTCTTCAAATTTTAAATTTGAGACAAAATAATAGTTTTTACAGGATCCCACTAAAACTATGTGACATTCAAATCTTCATTTCCAGCACCTCTAAGCTTGCTGATGTTAAGAGTAATACCACTTGAAAATACAGAGCTTAGGAAATCCCTAAAAGCCGCATGACATAATAACCACAGTCTGGTCTGTGAATATTTCCTCTGCCTTCAGGCTCTAAACACTGGGTGGTTAGAATGGGAAAAAGAGGTAGCTGTAAAATGACTCTTTTTATGTCTTGTCGACAAAGTCCCGACTGACATTTCTGCTTTACGTTTTCTTAATGGATCAGCATTCATCAGCCTTGAGCTCCCCATCCACGTCACTGTTGATCTCCTCTGATGTGGTGTCTCACTGTGTTACAGGGCAGGTTCCTTCATAGTTATTACCCTGTAATTTGCTCTGCCAGGGTATACACAGCTCTTTACAGTGTGGTTGCAGCGATGAAGTGGTGAAGGAGAGAGCTGCCGTATGTCAAATCAAACAGACACAGGATCTCTGGTTTGAAAGACCTAGTTAATGTAAGTTTAAACTGACTGTGTTCCCTCCTAATGTAAGAGAGGAAATGTATTAGGATTATCATACTATGATATTTGACTTGGAGTGGACTTATTCTCCATGCAGTATAACATCTTATGGTGATGTCTGAGGTGTCCTCTGATAAATACTGTGCAATTAAGTTATATACAATCATCCATCCATTCATTTTCCAAACTGCTTGTCCTGTAGGTTGCAGGGATGTTGGAGCCTATCCCAGTGGCTTGGGCCGAAGGCAAGGATATCACCCTGGGGTGCGTTTGCTGTACAATGATGTAACATGCTCAGCCAGTGCAGTACGATGCATCAGTGGAGAAATTAGCCTACCTAGCAAGTAAAAAAAAAAATCTGAAATCATTGTAACTTGGTTGCACAACTGTTGTTTGAACCATGTTAGTTCAACAATATAGGAATGCTGTTAATCATATCACACAAGTGGTGGAGTGATAACCAGTGTTGGGGTAACTCATTACAAGTAACGGGAGTTAAGTAATCAAGTAACTATTAAAGTAGCACATTACGCTGAAATTTACAACAAAATATCTGAGTTACTTTTTTTAAATATGTTTTCCCATTTATTCACTGACACCTCTCCTGTTCATGTGTTGAGAGAAATTGGGAGTGAGGTGAAGAGACAGAGGTATTTCCTTCAGGGCGAGGCTTATTCATTTCACTTTTGCTGTGAAAGGGCCTTTACAGTTGCCAAAACTATAACCTTTGGGATTTTTGTTATTAAAAACAAATAAGCAAGCCCAGCCCAGGTGATAAAAATGATAACGCAAACATAATGCAACGCGTTACCTTCCATAAAAAGTAATTAACACAATAACGCAATATTGTAATGCATTACTTTTATAAGTAGCTTTCCCCAACACTGGTATATAGTATAAGATTATTTACATTTTTTAATCATATTAATAAGCAGTACATCTCTGTATACATGTGCTTCATTCAGTCAACAACTTTCTTCGCAACGTCATTTTTCTGAGATGCTGCTCTAAAAAAGCTAGGCATCTGAGGACTACTTCACTATTTTTGTTCACTGTCACTTTGCTTAATTTGATGTTTGATACTTTGTGGGTTCCCACACATTCTCCTGGATTTCCTTATGTGCATTCCTCATCTTCTTCTTCTTAAAAAAAAAACAAAAAAACAAAACAGCACTGATTGTTGAATACACTGAAATATAGAATTAGTATGTAAAATTAAATGGAATGAAGGATATAGAATGCACTGCATGTTAATTTGCTTATTGTGCCCAAGAGCAAGTTCTATGCAAGTCCACGTCATACAAGAAACTGCGCTTCTAAACAGGACGAGATCTGCAGTTCTAACCACACAAGTGTGCGATGCTGTTTGCCATTGTTTCTTAGAACTCTGGTTTCTGAAACACCAAATCATTGAAGTATGTTGGCAGATTTGGCTACTAATGTTTTGGGGAAACACATCCTTGGACAGATGGCCAGGCCATCACAGATCAAACATCACATTGCAAATCAGCATAAAAAAAATAAAAATAAATTATATATATATACATAGACATACAATCCAGAAAGCATCCTAAAAGCTATAATTTTGTTAGTTGTTTAAACAGGAGTCACATTACAAAAACACTCATGTGTTCTCAAACTCGTTGCTCTAACTTATTTATGTATTTTAACAGATTAAATACAAGTCTAATAGATTACCCATGTCTGAAAATGCACAGTTCTTACCAGATGAAGAAACAATATGCAAGCTCTTATTTTCTCCACTGACTCAAGAGTCTGAATGCTCAGTCACCGGATGAAGAAATATTTCTAAGTTTTGGAAAGTGTGGGGTCCAACAGACGTCAATGGGACGTCAAAATGATACAGGAAGTCCTTTGAATAAACCTCAGGGTAGAAAAGGATTCTGGAAAAGAAACCCAACTCCTGTAATAATTACAAAGAACTGTGCTGCAAACTTGTGCATGCCATACTGGACATGCGCGCTCTCTCTCTCTCTCTCTCTCACACACACACACACACACACACACACACACGAGTGATTCCTTAAATCATGCATGTTATTGGGCATTTTCACTAGTGTTAATTCGTTAACCAAAAACATCTGTTGACCTTTTTTCCATGACTAAGACTAGACGTCATTAAACACTAACGTCTCAGGTTACTTATGTAACCATGGTTCCCTGAGTAGGGAACGAGACACTG